AGAAGCAACACTACGAATTGAAATAAAAAATAATGCTGTAAGTCTAGCTATCATTATTTAATTAAAATTATGTACTGGCTGTTTAAGCTGCTATAAGTTTGCGGACGGGCATTAGGACCCAGGCGGAAGCTACACGTCGCTGCTTGTTAGCGAGTACGCCGAGTAGTGACGTTTATCCGCAGTTCAACAGAAAGAAACAGCCAGTTCATTTCATTGTCAGAGATTGTGAGTAGGTGTCAATAACTGTTAATTGCGTAACTTTACCTATGTTTCCGTAAGTGAAAGGAAAGTGACGTTGTTGGCTATTTTAAAACTAATTTAGACTAACTTGCCCGCATAATGCTGCTGTTATAATTGGTTATATATTTGCTAGCATGTTTTTAATGAACACAACCCCAACATGTAGGCTGTTAAAAAACCTCATGGACTCATTTAGACTGTAATTAAAAAAAAAAGGTAGATATCCTAAAGACTAAGGAAACCAGAGGCTGGGAATCTTCCAGAGAAGCCAGTGAAATAAAGTGAGCCGGATAACAGCATAAAATTTGCTGTACACGACATAATAAAATTAAAGAAGCCTGTTTAGGTTTGGTGAAAAATTTTCAGCCATCTATATGCGCTAATTCATTCCTACAACCCTGGGGGCTTAGCCCCTCTTGTCTGTCAATCCTAGTTACGTCCCTGTTGTATGTGTATGTATAATGTTTCAGGGACAGATTTGCTTTAGTGTAGCATATATTGTTTGTTGCCTATTTAAATATTTAAATCATTAATCATCAGAAAACATTCAAATTAAATGATGCTTCATTCTCATGCTCATCAGATTAGGTTTTATACAGAAGCTGTTTTGCATGCACTTAATATTCAGAATGTGAGTGTCAAATTTACGGCATTTAACAAAACAGTCGACCAGGCTGCTATCTGTTGATGGAGCTCTGTCCACAGTCAGAAGGCGCTGCTCCTTGCATGCTAATTGGACCTGCGGAGTGAAATACAGGTGGACCTACGACGGGGGAATTCAAGTGGCACACAGCTGGACTCAGTACCTACCAGCGATCACGTCAGAGCCTATAGTCGTGGGAAAATGACACACGGACATTTGGACAGGCGGTTTCTGCATAGCTGAATCAGATTGAGGTTTACTGGCCGTGTAAGTTTATGATTTGGTGGAATTTTGCTGGGTGTGGTGATCACTGTGACTTGGTACACCTCTGCCTGCAGTGTGAGCAGACACACACACAGACACACACACACACACACACAGACACACACACACACACACACAGACAGACACACAGACACACACAGACAGACACACACACACA